TAATTCGCGTGGCGTGAAGCCAGCGGCGTAAAATTATGATAACGGAAATATGAAATCGGAAAATGAGAATTATTATAAAATATCATTAGATAAGGTATAATTATAAGACAGAAAATATACTAAGATCGATGTTGTTGTAGGTTAAAAAGAGGTGATCAGACAATTGTTTTTTTATAACTTGATTTCACTAGTGTACTTCAAACCTAACATACTAATTATAGCTATCATTTTCTTAATTATCTATCGCAATCGTAGCTGAAAATTACCATTTATATTACCATAGAGGTAGATATTTGTAATAACAAAACGCAATGATATTAGGACATTGCTCAGTATGAAGGTAGCATATCATCCTTTATGATGTTATTGACTGAGATTAGGTAAAAGAAGTCCGCATTTTGTACATTTGTCTTAATGACAGGACTATCCCAAAATGCGTTCGTGATGTGTGGTTATATTACTGTGACAAAACATAACATTACAGTAATGGCGATTAAAGAGCTAACATTTCATCATTGAATATTCGTTAAGTATACTTTACATATTATTCTTGTGTTGAAAAAGTAAGATCGCTTTAAATAGTAAGACAAAAAAACTGATTTTAAAATCAATCTTAACATCATACATTTAGGGTTTATTTTAGTTAAGTAATCCTTTGTATTTAATATGTTATAAACGTAGGTGCTGGACGCCATAGACGTTATAATTTAAATCACATGTATAAATATCATGACATGTAATAAAATTAGTGTATCATTTAATTAGTTTATATAATTGAACATTTCTTTGGAAGGTTTTTCGTGAATGTCAAGATGGCGTTAAATCCGGTATAAACATTATAAATAATTTTATTTTTGCTATATAAAATTTGATAATCATTTAATTTAAATTCTTAAATTGCATATTAATGTAAAAAAGGACACATATGTAAGATTTTAAAGATTGGTTTGGTCTTTTCGATATCAATTTATTATTTAAAATAGCGAGGACCTATTTTACAAAATGTTGTGTCAACTTTTTTATCAGATTACTATTAATTTCTACACTGACTGGGACTGTGACGCCATCTTGGTATTCACGGCATTGCGTGCTTGTGATTTTGTATAATAGGTAGTGTTTATTTCGAAAAAGCTTGACACCACTTTTATTTATTGAACGTCTTCTTTAGTAGAAGTAATGAAATATCTTACTAATAATTATAATATTTTACAAAGCGGACAACCATTGATTAAAATCTCATATTAAATGTTTATTCACAATTTATTTTACAGAAACTTGTGATATATTTTGTATATAATTTTAATATTTAGATTATTTGTTCCTAGTTGAATTTTAGAAGTACTTCCAGTTGGTCTTTCTTTGTACTTCTTGTTTTATATTTTATAAAGACGAAAGAATGTGATGCCATTTGTTTAAATATTAGCATGAATTTCAAGAAATAAATAGCAAATTTATAAATTTATCTGTTTTTTATTAATTCATATTTCCTTTTTTTATTGATAAACTTTGCTTTCCGCCCGTGGCTCGCCCATCTGGTCCCGTTTAATAGCATAAAAAGTAAACATAAGCGAAAGCCAGAGTGCGAGGAGCGGGAAAAAAGATAGAAAAATAACTTTCGTAAGGACCGTTCATAGGATGGGTGACCAAAACATTATTATCTTGAGCATTATTACCTCTGTGCCTCCGAATGCACGTTAAGCCGTTGGTTCTGACTGCATCAGCAGTAGTTTACACTCACCAATCCGCATTGAGCCCGTGTAGTGGGTTATGGCCCATTGAACCTATTCAATTCGACCCTATCCGCCGACGCAGAAGAAGCAGCGGTTACAGCTAGTTAGTAACAAATAAAGAATTGCTCAGATTCCAAGATGAGACGCTAAAGCCCGAGTATCTGAGACTGACTCGAGAATACTAATATAGAAACGTTCGTTTTACCCGACTGCGAATCGAACCCGCCACAGCCACAGCTTTGAAGACTGTCAAATACATATCTATACTATAATAAAAACGTAACCGATCGATGTCTGTACATTGAAGATATATGAAAAAAACTGTTATGAGGGACATTTATAAGAGTAATAGAACACAAAACAATGATTTTTAAATTTTTTGTCTGTTTGTCTGTTTATCTGTTTGTCTGTTTGTCTGTTTGTCTGTTTGTCGGTTTGTCTGTTTGTCTGTGCGTTTGTGCACGATAATCTCAGAAACGGCTGAACCGATTTAAATACAGTTTTCACTATTATATTGCGGCATTCTTCCGTTAACATTTAGTGTAAGATTTATTTCAATCGGTTCACAAATACAAAAGTTATGTCAATTTGAAGTGACGTGGTCGCCAAAATTGCTATGAAATATTTACTGTTTTATTAAATTTTCGTCTTTGATATATTGATCATCATCATTAACTCTTTCACAGCCAAACTGCAGGGCCTCAGGCATTTGTTTAATAATTTTTGGTCACCCATCCCGTGAACAACTCTTGCGAAAATTGCTTTGCAATAGCGATCGTGCGCAGCGGCGCATATCCGTAGAGCCACCGAGCTACGAATTAATATTGTCTATGAAATGATAATTTGTATGATGACAAATAAAAAAATAAGATTCCAAAATTTTGACACTCCGAAGTAAGTTGACCTCATTTATATATGGCCAATCGTATTAAATAGGGTTCAGCTTATAATGGACATGTGGTATACGATCACGCGAGTAGGAGAACATGCGGAAAGAGCCTTCCGATGATGCAATTAAGCCTCGAGTAGTTTACAGTGAACGCATATTTTTATCAGATTAGGTTCACGTCGTCGTCGGGGCCAGCGGAGGTGATTGGCAGCCGCTCCCGCATTGCACGGTTTCGTCTGTCTGGGAGAGGCACTCGATTTACCCGAGTCTCTCCAATTTTCCATCTGCAAGGGGACCAATGGTCCAATACATGAGTGTCCTGGTGACTCGGCCATAGCTTGCCGGTTTTCATTTCCCATGAGAAGGTGTAGAGTACGGGTTTTGGTGGGTAGGCCTTTGGGGACCCACCGGGCAGCTCACTGTCGGGTTCACGGAGGAGAATCCTACTCACCCCTGTTGCTTGCCACCTGGCACCTAACAGAGACAATGTCAGAAGTTTTTCCACGACGTTAAAAAACTTATATTCACGTCAACTGAAGTTAAGGACGTAAAGACAACTCGAGTTATATTTTTTTTTCTCTTATTGCTATTTTTTATGTTAATACTCTTTTTGTTTTTTTTTTAACATACAAATTGCTGTAGATACGTACTTCAAAGTTGGTATTTTCAGTCTTCGCTGGAAACAATGCTTTATTCATAGTCACAACACTCATATAATATTACGCGAGTCTGTGGGTCGGTTCAGAGTAGCTCGGTGGCGTAGTGAATAAGCGCCATGGCCCGCGATTGTAGTTGTTAAGCAACTTTCGCAAAGGTCGGGCACAGGATGGATGACCAAAAAATATTATCTCAAGCAACTCCAAGCTTCGGAAAGCACGTAAAGCGATTGGTCCCGGTTGTATTTGTAGTCGTTAATATCCTCCAATCCACATTGGGCCAGCATGGAGGGTCGTGGCCCATCCTCTTTAACCATCCATAAGGAAGGCCTGAGCTCCTGCAGTTGGTGACGTAAAAGGGCTGATGATGATGATGATGAGGGCCGTTCAAATCTGACAGAAGCTCAGTTAAGCACCTCACGGAAGTATGTTAGTAGACGATTTCCTTCGAGTGTGGAAAGTCGAAATTAAAATATGTATATATTTTTTTTTATATCAATAAATAAAACTCCACGTATCTTCCGTCAGACATGTACTGACCGACTTTTATAGACAAAGAAAGAGATCAGACAGAAAGCGCTCGGTCTCGGGAGACACCTGAAAAACGCGAAGCGTATTTAACTGCCCATCGCGAGGCTCATGCACTATAAAGTTGAATCTGAAGCATTTACATACATGCAGTATGGTATGAGTATGAAACTTCTTTTGATGGGGAAATGCGCTTGGTCTCTTAAAGAGCTCGCAGTTTGCACAATAGAGATCGAGAAAGTAGATTCGATTATCGCCAACCCGTGTTGACTTCATACTCCACAGGCGTACCGCAGATAAGTTTTCACAGGGTATAATGAACTAGCTATTTTCCCACAACTTTGCCGCAAAATTATAGCCTATGACATCTGCGTCTGATGTAGCTTCCCGTAGGTCGGAATCGCTCTGCAACTATCGGTCCAGTAGTATTGGAGCAAATTCGATGACAAACAAACAAACAACCAAATCTTTCCTCTTTATAATATTAGTATAGCTTAGGCATAAGGGGTCCGATGGCGTAGTGGGTTAGCGCATTCGGTTTAAATTGCAGTTAAATAAGAAAGTAAATACTGCACAACAAGGACATACATGAATACTTATTTTACATAAATAAGTGCAAACGACAAACTCATCGCTAGCCGGCGATTTCTTCCAGGCAAACTAGCATTACATGAAAAATAGAACAATAAATAACCGATTGTGCATACAACTAGACAAGTAATAATAATCTAAAAAGATCGAAACAAAAGAAGGACCGTTTAAAGTACGAATAAAATGCTCAGACACAAGCAACAACCAGAGCGCGAGAAACGAGAAAAAAATTGAAAAATAACATTCGTAAGGACCGTTTACAGGATGGGTGACCAAAACATTATTATCTTGAGCACTGTGCATAACACTGGCATAATGCACGTTAAGGCGTTAGTCCTGGCTGCATCAGCAACGTTAACACCCACCGATACGCATTAAGCCCGCGTAGTGGGTTATGGCCCATTGATCTTATTCGATTCGTCTGCATTGATAGGAAAAAAAGAATTCTACCAAAATACTTCCCACGCAGACGAAGTCGCGGGCACAGCTAGTTTCATTAATATAAATAAAAATGGATTTTCTTTTATTCTAAGGGCGAAGGTCATAGGTACTATAATTATATTACTTAGGTATTAAACAAAGAAATGAAATCAGAAAATTATTCTTTTTGATGCGATATTATGAGATTATAATGTTTTTATTAAATAAAGATGACGTGCTACAAGTATTAAAGTCAGCAAAATAGCGTATCAAAACAAAGTCATGACCTAAAATCGTCATTACACATTCTGACATTCAACGTTAGCCAGTAAAATGAATATTATTTTATTTATATCTTTAATACAATCTACATATTATTTTAATGGAATCGTTTGTTTAAAAAACAAAGGAGACAGAATTAAAAAGTGTTCGGATAATAATAGCAGATTAGATGATTTTTTAAGTAAAACATTAAAAGTATTTGACACAAATGAACAGAAATTAAATGAATTTTCCAATGAAAATTTAAGTGTTAGAAGTGAATGTTTGGATAGTAGAAATGTAACGTGTTTATTTGACGGTCTGTTGATTCATCACGATGTGCCTCATTCACACTGGCTTAAATACAAGGTGACATTTTTTTTTTATTTCAAATGCACCTTATACTTAAATCAGAGCTCTCCAAGTCCAACCAAGTAGATTTTTACTGATTTACTAGTGGTGGGAGTGTTATGTATGTCCAAAGATATTTTTCCTATTCTTTTTTTTTAAAGTATTATGATGATTTCACTCCCAAATAATTGTATAGAAGTGGAATGAAATAAAAATGCCATTCTTTCTCGATTTTAGTTTAAAGATCTTTTGGTTCCTTAATTTTTCACTCTTTATATTTTTGGCAATAAAATTTAGTTTGGGTCATACACCCCTCCATCCTACGCCTATTTTCGCTATTCAAGTTCAATGTGGATAATAATGACAAAACGTTTTCTTTTTAAAGAAACAGTATTCAATTATGAGAAAACTACACTGCCACATAAGTTTATAGTAGTTTATACTCCTATTTTAATTACAGTCATTTTTCGACAAAGTATATGAAACGCATCGTGATGAAATGGAAGCGCTATCGCAGTGGCGTCAAAATCTAAAACTGGTGGCTGAACACAACCGACGCTACCTTGCCGGCGAATTGTCATACTCCCTGCAACTGAACCAGTTCGGGGATTGGGTAATATCGTATAACCTTTTATTGAAAGATATTGAGTAGCTCGTTGTGTTCGTAGTGGATAAAAGGCACGACCCGCGATCGTTGTTGTTAAGTAACTTACGCAAGGGTCGGTCATGGGATATGTCCGTCCAATCCGCATTGGGCCTGTGGGGCAGGTTATAACCCCGTCCTCTTTAACCATCCAAAAGGAGGGCGTGAGTCCCTGAGACAGCGTGACGATGGTCTTCCGTGGCAACCTCAGGTTTTTATTGGGTATTGATCTATGGTAAATGATTATTATTGACGTATGAAGGGTGAATGGCGATTCCATGTGGATGTCAGTCACGAAAATAATGAGTGCATAAAAGGAAATTTGAAAGTAACACCGGTGAAAGAAAAATTGAGAATGGCATGAAATCAGTCGCAAACAAATAATGAGAAAAGGGCATACAAATGATAAAGAAGTTAATTCACAAGCTTTGCCTATGTACAAAATCAAATACAGGGAAAGAGTCGAAAAATAAGATCGTCAAGTTGTAACTTAGACACTCTACAATTAACAAAGAAAAATAGTGCACGTTTAGATAACTTGCATTATATATTGTATGGATAGGAAAAAATATAAAACTATTTCAGCTACAGTAACCAAAACTTTATTTTAAAAAAATACATGTAAAAGTTGTATGTAATAGTTTATAAATAATTAATCCTAAGACTTAATACTCACTTTACAGCATCCCGAAGAATATTTCGATAAAATTCTGAAGCTATTTGATACAATCCCAATGTTGGACCCAGCGTTAGACATACACAGGTCCCACTATCGTCACGCTGCCAACAAAACCATACCCATGAAAGTAAGTAACTTCAATTTATAACTTAAGATGAACTGCAGGGCGACTGCTTTACTCTCTAGCCATGAATCTTACCATATGACACGACTCATCTTACTTTGATGGATCAATTTGGAATAAAAGTACTAATTCAGCAATGCGGCTATCAAATCTACAATTGTCATTCGTTCGTCGTTAGTACATTACACGTAAAGCATTCTAGGGCTTCCTTATTAACTAAGTATCGTTTAACCAAATGACCAAATCACTTTAAATCGAAAATCACTAATATTTTGCTACAACGGAGTAACTACGATATCTAGTAACTCCCACACCTAGTCAATATTTGCAAGAAATGCTGTGCACCGTCTTCACACAAATTCACATGTACACAAACGGCACCAAATCTCGCAACAACCACCCTCTACATGTGTTTCGCCCTTCCACTGAGCATCCTCAGGAGTTGTCATATCTTTGAGCGACAATCACACATGTAGTAGAGATTCTTGAGGGATTTGTCTCTCTTTGTAGGTGATTTTAAAAGTATGCAGGCGCAACAGGGCTTGCAGATACCGACTTGCTGTGGTAATTTCTCCATATCATAGTATAAACAGTTAAAGTTATGAAACAAGCGCATATAAACATGTAAACGAAATAAGATAAAACCACGAATTGAAGTAATAACAGGTTGATTGGATAGGAGGAGTTCCGTGGCACAGTGGTTAACGCGTTCAGTCTTCAATCTGAAAGTTAAGCAAAACCTCGCAAGGGCCGTTGATAGGACGGGTGACCAAAATTTTATTATCTCGAGCTTCTTCATGCTTCGGACAGTTCCTTAAGCTGTTAGTCCCTGCTGCATTTACAATCATTAACACCTATCAATTCTCATTGGGATCGCGTGCTGGGTCATGGTCCATTATCTATTCGATATGATTCCATCTATATAGATGGCCTGTGACCCAGTAGTGGGAACATTGAAAGATTGATGATGATGACAGGTAGATTGGCGTGCAAAAGGCTTCAGACCAAAGCTTGAAGAGCAGTGGCAGTGTGGCGCGTGTTATGCCTTCGCGGTAACACATGCTGTGCAGGCGCAACTATACAAAGGACATGGGAAATGGGAAGAACTCAGGTAATTTATACAGGAAAAATTTATAGTCAATGCACCAAGTTTTATAATGTGCTAGTTACGGTGAATCACATTTACGTTCTCTTTTTTAACCTGGATGACATGTTCCTAGTTATAATATATGTACCCACTGTTCATACATACAAATGCTTTTAATATCCAAATTATGACAGATAAATAGCCCTACAAAGAACCATAAATCAGTATCTAATTTACGTTCTAGCCCCCAACAAATTGTGGATTGCAGTACAGTAGACGGCAATGAAGGTTGTGATGGAGGCTCACTCAGGGGAGCGTTCAGATACGCCGCCCGCACTGGCCTTATTCCTGAACAGAACTATCCTTATACGGGCAAGGTAATTTTATTCCTGGTATTCTTCTATGAGGAACTCGAATGCGCCGGGGTTAGGTCTGCTATGCGGAAGTAACTTTCGCAAGGACCTGTGGCGACAGCTATCACATCGCGTCAACATCGTCACAAGTTTCAAGTTACGCTGACAAATTACGAAACGCGATACCTTCATTACGCTGGCTAAGATTCGCCGCGCCTTATCGTATGTTCATCTTTCAACCTATATCGACATGATTTAGGTCCCTGAGCTTCCAGCACCCAGCTTGGAGGAAGACAATTTCCCTTTAGTCTCCCTTAACAGCTGCGATAGAGAGAACCAAGGCACAATCTTTAAAGTCCAGCGCTTCCTTGATACTTTATTAATCATAAATATTTAATTGCGACTTCTGACATCGATCTCCGATTATACGCGATCAATCTATCTGCTTTAAAATTGATACTCCATATATTGTGTTTTATTTTGCTATATGGCCTGCTTTTAAATGCCTTAAATAAGGAATATGCGTCTGATTCAAAAAAGGGTTAAATATATTCTATTACGATCATTATTGCTTTAGAATAAAGTATATGTTAATATTTTTTAACATAAATTCGTTTTCGTTTTAAAAATAAATATTAAAAAATGCAAAAAAATGCGGTAACTTCAAAATATTCAAACGGCATGCTAGTTATCAGAGCGGATGAGACGTAAATGTACACGTATAGTGATGTCGTTGTTACAAAAAGTTAACATCGATGCAATAACATCAATGTATTATGTCGCAAAATAAACAACAGATTACAATTTGAATGATGTTTTAGACTTTTATTTTTATTTCATAAATTTGGTAAACTAAACGATTTATTAAAAAAAGTGTATTATACTTTAGAAAATCGATTAGTTGTTAATCGATTTGGGTAATCGAATAATAATTAATCACTCAAAATCCATATTGATTTAAAATGTCATATCTCTAGTCGTGTACTTTGACGTCACGACAAGCGCGCCAAAAATTTCGGTACTTAAACTGCTCGTAGCTGTTACTCATTTTCATCAATTATTAATGTTACAAAATTTTAGTTTTACGGTGCCGGGTATTTTTTTGCAGTTATATATCGATGTAAATTATCATATAAAAACATTTTCCAAAAATATGCATATTCCCTATTAGGAAAGAATATTCATAATTCATCACATTTAGTGATTAAGTTTTAAGAGTCAATCCGCTGATCGTATTAAGTGATCATATTACGTCTTAGTCTACTACGTCTTCTACAGAGTAGGGAAGATCTATAATTGCCTTTTAGTGGGAATGTAGCGCAATTAAAAAATGAGGGAAGGTCGTGGTAACTCATTAGTTTCTAATTACCCTTGCCTCGTATATATAGTAAAAGACAGTATGTATAGTTATATAGTTCATTGATTCTCAATTAATCCTTTGAACAGTCTAGACTGACTAAATTATATTAATTTAAAATCAGTGAGATGTTATTTCGGTTGATTTAAATTTACATTGACGTCACATTATGCAATATTTTTACTGTTCAGAAAGGTCGTTGCAAATCCACGGGTCTGTTTGCTCGCACGAAGCCAAAGAAGTGGGCGATGCTGCCATTTGGTGACGAAGACGCCATGGAAAAAGCTTTAGCCACTATAGGACCGCTTGCTGTTGGCATCAACGCGTCGCCTATTACGTTTCAATTGTACAGGTAATGTGCTTATAATCTCTTAATTAGTCATTTAATGACGCATTGCTTAGCGGTCGTTCTGTAATATCTTTTTTTCGAAGACTTCCTGAAGACACTTTTGCATTTTGACACGGCTGCATCTAATTCGTTAACACCTACTAATATACACTGGACTCATAAAATAATGGCCCGTTTTTCTTTGTCTCATCCATTCATAGGAAAGACATGTTTTTTTTTACTTTTTGATAATAAATAATGCAACTATCACCATTTCAAGAGAGAGGTAAGTATTTAAAATCGTTTGTCGCAAGAAAAAAGAAGAATTGAATTGAACACATAACCATAAAGAGTAAGCAGCTGCCCCCCTCACCTGGACCGTTGTCGCTTAAAGTTTTTGGTCCAGAACTCTGATTTCCCCCTGCACTTGGGTAGGCACATGAACATAACTATTGCAAAAACACTTGCTTTCTGTAGTAGTAACTTTTTCTGCTGCCAGGATCACCAATGATTTGACTCTCAACATGATAAATCAAATAGCCTGAATGTAGACCATAAGAGTATTTTATTAATAATTTACATCTTATAAACTAAACTCTTTACTGTGTATGCTTCTAGTAGATATTTCTAATATGCTTTCTACATGATTAAGATATAAAGGCCAAGTTGCAGCCTCAGTAAACGTCATTCTATCATATTATTTCTTTCAGGAGCGGTATTTATGACGATCCATTTTGTTTCCCATTTGGTTTGAACCACGCAATGCTGCTAGTTGGTTTTACTCCTGACTACTGGATCTTGCTAAACTGGTGGGGGAAGAAGTGGGGAGAGGATGGTTATATAAGGTAGGTGGAATCAATAAATGTTCAAAGATTTATGGCAAGAATGAAGATAGTGACCATATCGATGTTCTATTAGAAGGAATACATTAGCTACCTGTATTGAATCATACGAACCATTAACATCCAGTCGTGAATAAACAGTTTGTTAATATCTTATTGTTCAGTTCTGTATCTGTATCGATTCCAGATCGTAACAAGAAGTTTTTGATATAAAATCATCCACTATCATATTTGATTTGTTGTACTTCTAATCCTACCAATAAATTTCGGTATTCCCTATGAATTGACAGTAAATTAGTTGGCTGACCTTTATTCTATTAAAGGGCTAGCCGCCGAAAATATTATATTTATATTTTTTTGTTATTTTATTGTAATGAAATATATATTCTTTACAACTTTGTGTATACGTGTACTTGTGTATACAAAAGACATCTTTCTATGTATGCTAGTAATAAGTATTTATAGAAGTCTTTGAGAGTACCTACTTATTATCTGATAAGTTTAATATTATGTGATTATTAATTGTCGATTATTTGAATAATGAATGTTTCAAATGTTATTTGTATACAACTTTAAGGCTATCATCTTTTGCTTACAGGATCAGACGTGGATTCAACAGATGCGGAGTAGCTAACATGGCGGCCTACGTTGTTTTGTAATATTGAAATAAATTTGTACCATAGATTTAATTTACGAATCTAATCGTATCCTTTAATGATTCAAAAGAAACACAATCTCTTTGATTAAATCAACTTTCTTTGATCAACTTTTTCTAAGGTAAATTTTCGAATGGATGATAACTTTTTTTTTCTTGAATATATGCATTTGTTTAAACTTGCTATACTGAGACTAAAAAACTAGTGCTAGAAACATAATTCAATGTGTTCAAAGCAAAATGTGTTCCAAAATTTTGTCTTAACTATTATAATAATTTCCCTTCCATAGTGATAAAGAATACGGAACAAAGTTACTTGGGATAATTATAATTCGGTTCCTGCCAAACAATTAGGGTGGGCTCGTTAAAAGTTACGCAACGGTGTTCAGGGCCATAACTAGGGCGTATAGTATTCAGGGTGAGGGGGCAGGGTTGCCTACCGTCAGTGTTGGGCGTTAATCAATAATTATTTTAATCATATAAGTAATTTTATGAAAATATAATCTCAGTTAATTTAATTGCAATTAATCTGTTAATTGCAGTTTAAATTAATTCATAATAAACGCAGAGTGAAATTAATTTATTTAAGTTAACTCATATTAGGTAAGTGTAAGATGCAATTAAAATAATTCAACTAATATTATTGTAATTGTTTTCAGAAACAATTTAAACTAAGAATCAAATTTCATGGTTCACAAGAAACAAGTACGGGAAGGGTGACCAATATCTTTTATTGGCAGCAGGGTGGGGTGGGACAGGAGTCTGTCTTTCTTTTCATTCTTTTCTTTTTTCTTTCACTTGCTTAGTAACGTGTAAAGAAGGTTTGGTTACCTATATTACCGGCCTGTGCAACGCAATATCGCTCATCGATAGTGAATTGCATTGCATCGAGCCATGAGTAAAGAGCCTAACTCATACAAATATTGATTTGGCGCGGCCTGGAACTAAAGGTATCAGTTATTCTTATAGAAGTCCTGCCCTGTGCCACCACTACATCTTATATTATTTCTTTTACGATACTTAAATTTGAATAAAATTTTATTGTATGAAAAATCAACAATTAATCAATTGTTAATTGCAATTAAATTTTGCCCAACACTACCTAATATATATTATATATTATTTTCGTTCTGCGTACTACACACTGTTGGAGAAATACATGATACGCAAAAATACTATATTTTTCAAGATTGAAATAAAGAAAATTAATTCTTTAAAAAAAACTTTTAAAATTGAGACATTTTTCATTCAGAAAATTTTCCATGCTATACTGGAAAATATTGTGAATGGAAAATTGATCAAATATAATAAACATAAATGATTCAAAAGTGATTTGAAACAAAGCTTATTTAAATAGAAAATAATTTCACCCTAACGTCTTTACGTTAAGTTCTTTTGTCATTAGATAGGTACCTATTTTAATATCTCATATTTTCAAATACTATATTTCGCTGAAGAAATGTAGGTAACCCTAATGGGGGGTGACTATGGAATTTTAATTGGGTAACTAAACTAGTGATGTAAAGTTTTGTTTTATAAGTTACATTACGGATAATATAAATTTAGTGAAATTTTGAATTTAGGCATAACTTGAATGAGTGCCTAATCTATACTAATATTTCAAAGAAGAAAGATTTGATTGTTTCTTGGTTTCTTAGCATAGGGTTCCAAATCTTCTGGACCCACTCTAACAACTCTTTCACCTACGGGAAGCTACGTAATAGGTGGATGGACATGTTCTATAATTTACGCGAGTGTTATGGCGTGAAAACAGCTAGATCTAGCGCTGGTTCAACGAAAATTGTCCTTGATTAGCTAGTCAGTCAGTCGCACAAATATCCATTAAAATATTCATTAGTTATGTCAACTTAAAGGCGTCATTAAACCGTTTGTCCAAGTAATCGTAAGTGTAATTTTCCCAATAACAAAAACTCCTTAATATGTCCTACTGTTCTACTTATTTAATCTGCCAGGTATTGGGGGGTTAGGTGGGCTTAAACTAGGAGCTAATTTATAAAACTCTCGCGCTGGGCGAGTTGAAATCTTAATTCATTTATACCAGTTTTCTCCATTCGTCCGGACCGAATGGGTAACTATATTGCCGCGTTCATTTGAGTTAAGCCTGTGGGTTAAATTAAGAATCGAAGCGTTTTTCAATAGAATTAGTTTTTGCAACGTTTCAAAAATTAGATTTAAGATTAAACTTGCAAAATAAAAGACAAGGAACAAGCTCTACTTATGCGTGTGAGTTTGTATAAGGCATAGGGGCAAGCAGGACTACAATCCTGCTTTGAGAGCGGACGCGTCTTGAAGCCGTACCTTGCTTGCAGGATACCGGACTCATCCATCCGCGCGAAATCAACCACAGCGTTTTTGTCAGGTATACCAGACACATTCAACCTGCCCTTTTCAGGGTTGGGTGGCTGGAGAGCTTTGATTTAAGGCTTACGGTGCATTTCCTCTGGGTTATCAAAAAGAAGATTGGGCTGTGCGGAGGACAACGGGGTCGGGAAGGACGCGGTATTTCAATTAATGCCCACTAACTACTACTGAGTCTACTCGCTCGTTCGTTCGTGTTTCAAAATTTGTGCTTCCCTCCTTGTTTTCGTATATAATTCAAAATTATTGTGACTTAGTCATGGTCAGTTGTGACTAATTTATTGAAGATCAAATTAACAAGCTTAGCAATTAAAATTGTTTATTTGATCTTCAATAAATTTGTAAAAAACCAAATTGTTGTTTGTGATTTGACTAAGTTTCGGTTGGGTTATCTAGACTGAGGTATAATTTTTATATTTGATCAATTTTGCATTTACAATGCTATACTTATAAAGATGTAATCTAAGAAAATATGATGTAATTTATATCGTTTTCAATTATTTGGTTTCGTTTTGATCAATTTGATTTGGATATTTTATACCTTCCCCATAATAATCCATTATAACAATACTTTTTATTTCGTAAATCTATTTGGATTAATATTAAATTCTCACAGCAGAATCTTTTAACTTATGCCTCGCACCACCACCTAACCTAATTGAGTGTGCAGTTGAGAAAGCGGTCAGGCACAAATGCGATTTATCTGTTCTGGAGTCAGTCAGTGGCGCAGTTTTCAGTCAGTTCCCAACTATCTGACTCGTATAGTCACTCCTAATTAGTCTGCAAAATAATGCGTTGCTGTGAAAAATGTTTGAGCCGTGTAGCCAAAGTAAGAATAATATAATCAGAATATTTTATTTTTGCATTCACAATCATCATCATTATCCTATTTATGTCCTGTCCACAGCTGGGGCATATGAATCCTTATGAACCTTATGAATGGAATCGAACGAGCCAAGACCACTACGCGGCCCCAGTGTGATTCATATTTATCTACCCCATAAAAATATGATGGAATATTCCCATTTTTAATTACCGCTCATTTGGACGTTATTTCTTTGTACAAAACCAATTGAAGGTTAATGATTTTAAAGTAAAATGTTGCCAAGGCGAAAATGTATTGTTCGGACGCACCGTCAAACATTTTCCTTGTAATATGTAGAGCCAAGCTGCTCACTATGTAAGCATGCCCTGCATGTATGTATGCCCTAACTATAAACCTTAGTCAAAACATGTGTTTGGCTACTTTCTACCGTCACATAGGCATCACATAGGCAGGGGCACAGAGATTTGCGGTATGGTATGTAGCATATACCTTAGACTTACCATATACAATAAACTTAAAAAACTTACCAATTTTCAGCAAAGTTTCAGTACCTTCTAATGAGATTGAACCACATGGCCTGGCCTGGCCTGGATGATGATAATTTGTTGCACACCATCGATAAAAGTTACCGAAAAATAATCTCGTTTTATCGAAAAAGTAAGAATTACTGAACTGTTAATACCTATTATTTTAGACATTGTTTACATAAATAGTCAGCGGCCGACAAAACATTTGGTATGAATCTGAACAATCCCATACAGTGCTATTTCAGTGGTTTAATGTTAGAGTAAAACACTAAAATTGCAATTTAAGGATTACTTATTACTAACCTACTACATTCTAGGAGTAAATATTACTCCCGTTAATCTCGTATTAGGTTAACCTTTGCTAAGTCTCTGTTTAATAGTATGAATTATGACTAATACTAAATGCAATCCCAGCGTAAATTTACTCCAACGCTAAATCTTGTATATTAATAACACTGATAATATTTATAAATTAAATCGACATGCCTTTCAGTAAAAAATATAGTCGTAAAAGTTACAAGATTGTTTTAAAAGTTATTTTTAAGGAAGAAAATAAAAAAAATATCGTTCGGTTGACGCGCTACTTACTGGTATCTATCATAACCATTCGTTTTGCCAATTTGTAAACATCAGGAAATATAGTTGTTAAATTATATATTTCTATTTTAATGCTAGCCGATTAAAGTAGTTAGGTGGAGTAGAGGATAAGCGTGAGGTTAAGCAATTTTCGTAAGGGTCGGTCACGGGATGGGTGACCAAAAAAATATTATTTCGAGCTACTCCCTGCTTCATAAGGCACATTAAGCCGTTGGTCCCGGCTGCATTTGCAGTCGTTAGTACCCTTGAAATCGCATTGGGCCAGCGTGGTGGGTCATGGCCCATCCTCATTAACCATCCATTAGGTAGGACTGAGCCCCTGCAGTGGGGACGTAAAAGGGCTGATAATGATGATAAGCTAATTAAAACCATCATAATAATTTTGATTAAAGAACGAAAGATATTACCTTTTTCTAGTTAAATCAAACCCGCTCAAACGCGTTCCATTTGCTATTATTTTTAATTTTTCTTCAAAGGACAACGTAAATGCACTGAGCAAAAAGAACAGCTCATAGTTATGATTTTCCACAATAAACGGTGTAATTATGTTAATTAATTAATTAAAACTTAATCACCAGCGCTTAGAAAATTAACCAAACCGTACGGCGAAAATGTTTAACGATACACCGATTAAATAGTCCCTTCACTCAAACGCTACTCTTTTGATGAATTTTTAAATCAATAAGGTTGCGATAAGCAATGCCTCTCAAAATCGTAACACAAACATGAATTTTACACACAAATATAAATATCTCCTGCATACAACACGAGTTCTGACCTGTCGTCTTCCTGTCGTTTTTGTATGGCTAATAAGCTGGAAGAAGTGCAGCTTACGGTCGCATCGGTGACGGCGGCGCCACCGTAGCAATCGGGTAAAAATTTTCCGCTAACTAGAACGTTACAGTAGTTCTCCCTATTTTAGATGGCAGTTCATGATGCAGCATGGCAGTCTAACCAAATCATGATCATGATTCAGAAGTGTCTGTGAATACTCTATAAATGTATGATAGATTATTTAAGTAAGATTTAGTTGGGTTTTATAGGTAGGGTATGCAGTGCTTATTGCATGTATGGTACTTTACTGCTCAATACTTCTTTGTTGTACAATAATTCTTCTTTTAAACTGCTCCTTGTTCCTAAATTATTTGTTTAATTTTAAAAAAGTTATAATTTAGTTACCTACCTAACAACTCAATACATTTTCTTAGAATTTTTAAGCACAAGCATCCACATCACTTCTGGATGCGTAATTACAAGCATCCGGAAGTGGAACAGGTGTTCTTATCTATTTTCTCATAAACAAGATAACATTTATATGAAATTAATCTTCAAAGCTAACTGATAATAATCTCTCAGCACATGCGATCAGTAGGTACATCAGATCTAAGCTAGCGTCATTGGATACCTAAGTGCATTCTCCTGCACATTATGCATTGACATTGAGTATGACAGACGGGCATAATGAATATCTATAGCCCAGGGGTTTACAAGCCTGAAGTGTCATTGTTTCGCAAAATGAACCGGCTAGAAACTCAGCAAGGTTTGCTAATTTTTCTCTATTGTCTCGGATCAAATGAAAATAAATTTTCTACGTTATCTCGTGTCTGGGTGTTATGGTACCTTCGTTATTACAAGTACTCCACAATACAAGTGCTTAAGCTACTCCTCTTGGAATCTGAGTAATGTATGTGATGTTGTCTCACATTTATTACTTGAATCAGTCAAGACAAAACAAAACAAGACTAAATCAGCGCGTCTCAATAAGATAAACGGGAACAAATATTGGCTTGAGCGTTAAAAACGGTATATGGAAAACTTCAAAATCAAAAAGTAAGTTCTATGTTTTCACCGAGTTGTCTGCAATTTTCAATATTGTTTTTTATTCAAAAGCTTATGGGCCTGACTGTGGTGGTCTCATTTTTTGTCCAAATCATTGGAATAACAATTTGTTTATATAACAAAATATTATTAAAGTACCGGCTAAGCAAATAATGTTTTGCACTACTTCACAATGGTTGAATGACCTCATAACTTTAACTGTTATCTATAGAAGCCCAAGGTTCGTTGATTAAAGTTCATATTTTACTACGCCAAGAAAGAGGATGGTGCAACGCATTCCACATTCTTTGTTAAAGTCTGCATGACAGGTACCATCAAATTTGATATAAACCTTACCTTACCTTACTTTGATGCGTTTGTTTTTGTTAAAGTAAGTTAATGTAACTTTAGAATCAAAACACATTCGCAAACTGTCATAGCTAACTTAAAATTTCACGACCGGAAATTGCGTCTATTTCCACCATTCTGCAGCGGAAGTGAATCGGTCTGAATTATTGACTGAAATAATAGCCGTATCACAAATGTCTAGACTTAAACTGGGGGTAAGCAGAGATGAGTCAATGTTTGTCTTTGAAGCCCCTTTTCCATTGCTATTAACTAAAAGCTTGGCAGAATACTTTATTCAAATAATCTTATTTTGGATGTGTTTCACCTGTTAAAGAAATTTATTAACTCTAAACATGAAGACGATTTGTATATTTATAAAATAAGTACTTACCCCTAAAATTCATAATTTGTAGGCTACTCAGAGTGTAAAATCTGGACAATATTACCATTAGTCCATGCTTTTACTAAGACTTCGCTGTAAATCTGTCTGTCACCAGTCTGAATCTCAAACAATCAAATCTATCCCCTATGTAATATTAGTATAGATAACTTAGAATTTATTAAAACCTGATTTTCAGATAAGCTCTAGGTAGTATAGTAACAAAATGGCGGTTGTTAGTTTTCTTTTTTGTTTCCAAACGATCCATTTATCACGTGAACACAGGGGACTTGGAGACAGCTAGCGACGGAACACGGTCAGTTAAGTGTTCTTTCCTTTTACTAAGTTCGACTAAATATCTTAAAGAATTTTCTGCCACCAAATATTATGCGGTTTCACATACCTATATTTTTTTTATTTTATTGAAATCCCAAATGATCGTGGTTTCATAATAGTGAGTGACGCTATTAGAGAATAACCCATACATTTATTTTTTACCGACTTCAAAAAGGAGAAGGTTCTCAATTCGACTGTTTTTTTGTGTTTGTTACGCAATTACTCCGCCAATTTTCTTTTCCGCCGCTTTTTAGAATACAAGTCCTGTATTGTGACGGACAAAGTACACCCAGACTAAGAATAATTATTTATAAATCACACGAAAAATTGTCCTGTGTGGGGATCGAACCACAACAATCGATCCGTGGAGACAACTAAACCACTCGACCAAAAATGCAGTAAAAATCTAACCTGTATAATGCAAAATAATGATGACAGTTCTTGCCGAAAATTCTTTAGAATTTATCAATATAATGTATGTAATACCTAATTAAGACTGACAACAAAATTGCGGTAGACACCCACTTGTGATACCTATACAAAATATTTATATCTCTGAAATAATGAAATAAAAACATTTTTCAAAAAATAGTTACTTCTAATTAATAAAGTGATAAATAATACTTATTTTAAAATCGGTTAAATTTTTCAATAAACATTCAAGTCGGGCGGTTGATATTTAATAAACTTCGGAAAACCTCAGTCCGGCTTCAATGGTTCTTGAAAAATTTAACCGCTTTTAAAATAAGTGTTGGGTATTTATCACTTAAAAAAAATGATATTTTACTCAATTTTTACACTTCCATTCTGGTTGGGGCAGATCAGATAATTTAGGTTCTAGAGTGTGACTCGGATGATACGAAAATTAATCTAGAACTACTCATAAATATATCCATATTTAAGTACGAACTGTTAGGTACAGAAACAAAATATCCAAATAACTTTATCATATGAAAAGGAGGGCGTATCGTTATAGAGATACACGAACCGAAATTTAGTTCATGATCAGTCATGGATTGGTCAACATGCTTAATAATATTGAGCGGCATAGTCCATATAACGATATGCAAATATTGTGTCATCGACAACCGTTCTGTGAACTCTGACTGGGAAAAGAAACTGCATGAAGACCTCAGCAAATGCTATAACTCATTTGAAGCACCTGCCAATAACACAATAATCAAACTGAGTATTGATATGAAATATTTCACAACAGACGAGGGTGATGGTTCTCTTTCTATGCTTAGTTATGCTACTGTCACTTGGCTCGATGAAAGACTTAAATGGAATCCAAAAGACTACTACGATATAACAAATTTAGATTACTCGGGTTACGAGTATTGGGCACCGACGATAGTAGCAACCAATATAGCTGAAGCAGATGATTATTATATATATGGAGTGTGTACATTAAAATTTACTGGTGATATTTTATGTGTGCAAAAGATGGTATATAGAGGTCGTTGTATTCATTATATTACAAATTGGCCATACGATGAATTGATATGTACTCTTAATTACGCCATAAAACACTTCGGAAATAGTGACTTCATACTCGTTCCAAGATGGAACAAAACTGCTGACATATTTGGAGCTGAATATGGAGACGAATGGATCATTGTTGATTATGTAGATACTTTTAACGTTACTGAGAAAATTCAAATTAGATTAACATTTACTCTTGTACGTAACGGTGAAGTTATTGCATCAGTGATAATATATCCGTTAGTTATTCTAGCAATACTGACACTTGTGACGACTTTTAGAGACGTGATAAACTTCAAACGGTTCTGGATGACCTGTTTCACTGTGATGTGTCATATTTTCTATTCGCAGACATTGAATAATCTAATTCCTCAACTTGAAACTGAAGTACCGTCAATCTTGATTTTCTATAGATTTTCTGTGCTCTTGAACAGTCTTTTGGTGATATTAACTTTAGGACTGAGGCAATTGAGATATCGCCAATCATCTCCTCCTATTTGGGTAACATCTGTGAATAATTTAGTATTCAATTCTTACGGGAAATATATTGTTCTGCCTCGATGGAAAGTTAAAGCTGACGTCATAGTATCAGAGTCAGTAAATGTAAAAGACGTGGAAGCATGGAATAATTTTGGTAACATACTTAATTCAATTTTGTTAGTAATCTGTGCATTTTTGTACTTAATAATGATGCTTGTATACATTCCTACATTACATACGTTTCACGTTTTGAAATTCTTGATAAAGTAATACAGGCATTTTACTAAAGTAATATGTGAAATTTGACCTTACAATTTAAAAAAGAAGATATTGTTCTACATGAAAAAATGTCATGTTCTCTAAAACTTGTCTATCAGAGTGCAAAGATTGCTATTAACCTGAGTCTGCTGGAACACATTTTGTTATAAGTTTACCCCGACTATCAATATTGGATCCCTTACTCTTTTCATTTTATATTTAAGACCTTTAAAGTTTGTTTATCTCTTTTTTCTTATCGTAATCCCTATTTATCGTATCGTGTTTCTCACAAACTTTCATCTATTTTTATTTTAATTTAACTTCATAAAATCTAGCAAATAACTTTCATCTAACTTCATCATATCTAGCAAATAAAATTAAGTAGTAATCTTCAGCCGATTAAACTGTGTGTTTTGCATACAGGCTTACTTAAATTGACATTGCATGGTTGGTGAATATGGAATTATATACTTTTTATTTATATAAAAATTTAATATTTTTAATGTTACCTATTAAATATTAAAATATCCATATCACTTAAAACACGAAATAAAAACTTTTTTTTTAAATAGAAGACAAATATTTTCTATAACATTTTCTAAAATAAGTAGCTTCTGGGGTAAGTATTATTTATCACTTTTTTAGTTTGCAGTCGATTCTTTTGTACTTTATCATAAAAGTATCAAATGGTCTGCTAAGAAAAATACGAAAATTATTGTATTATAATATCTGAATATCTTTAAGTGCTCTCATAAAATAGTAACAAAAGCTTGTGACTATAAATTAAAACAAACCTAAGATTCCTAAGAACTTTTAAGGGTTTTCAATTAGATCGCAGTCAGATCGTTTAAAAGTGATATAGAAGTTAACGAGGAATTAATATACTGTCAATTTCCTATTCAAAACGTACAAATAATTGTTATAATAAAATAAGGGGGCGTATCCATATTGAGTTACACGACCTGACATTTAGTTTGTGAACAGTCATGAATTCGTCAACATGCTTTTTACTCTTAATCAGTATTGTTAATTTAATATTATGCAAAAATTGTGTCATCGACAACCGCTCTGTTAACTCGTACCGGGAAAAGAAATTACTTGACGATCTCAGCAAATGCAGCAGCCCAATAGAAGCACCTTACAATAATACCATAGTTAAATTGAGGATTATCATGAAATATTTCATAATAGACGAATACGACGACTCTCTATTTGCGTATTGTTACGCCGTTACCACCTGGATAGACGACAGATTGAAGTGGATTCCAACAGACTACTACGATATTACAGATATAACAACTCAATACATTTTCTTAGGATTTTTAAGCACAAGCATCCACATCACTTCTGGATGCCTAATTACAAGCATCCGGAAGTGGAATAGGTGTTCTTATCTTCTTTCTCATAAACAAGATAACATTTATATGAAATGAATCTTCAAAGCTAACTAGTACTGATAATAATCTCTCAACACATGCGATCAGTAGGTACATCAGATCTAAGCTAGCGTCATTGGATACCTAAGTGCATTCTCCTGCACATTATGCATTGACATTGAGTATGACAGACGGGCATAATGAATATCTATAGCCCAGGGGCTTACAAGCCTGAAGTGTCATTGTGTCGCAAAATGAACCGGCTAGAAACTCAGCAAGGTTTGCTAATTTTTCTCTATTGTCTCGGATCAAATGAAAATAAATTTTCTACATTGTCTCGTGTCTGGGTGTTATGGTACCTTCGTTGTTACAGGTACTCCACAATACAAGTGCTTTAGCTACTCGTCTTGGAATCTGAGTACCGCACCGCGTCTCAATAAGATAAACGGGAACAAATATTGGCTTGAGCGTCAAAAACGGTATATGGAAAACTTCAAAATCAAAAAGTAAGTTCTACGTTTTCACCGAGTTGTCTGCAAATTGCAAACAATTTTCAATATTGTTTTTTATTCAAAAGCTTATGGGCCTGACTGTGGTGGTCTCATTTTTTGTCCAAATCATTGGAATAACAATTTGTTTATATAACAAAATATTATTAAAGTGCCGGCTAAGCAAATAATGTTTTGCACTATTTCACAATGGTTGAATGACATCATAACTTTAACTGTTATCTATAGAAGCCCAAGGTTCGTTGATTAAAGTTAATGTTTTACTACGCCAAGAAAGAGGATGGTGCAACGCATTCCACATTCTTTGTTAAAGTCTGCATGACAGGTACCATCAAATTTGATATAAACCTTACCTTACCTTACTTTGATGCGTTTGTTTTTGTTAAAGTAAGTTAATGTAACTTTAGAATCAAAACACATTCGCAAACTGTCATAGCTAACTTAAAATTTCACGACCGGAAATTGCGTCTATTTCCACCATTCTGCAGCGGAAGTGAATCGGTCTGAATTATTGACTGATATAATAGCCGTATTACAAATGTCTAGACTTAAACTGAGGGTAAGCAGTGATGAGTCAATGTTTGCCTTTGAAGCCCCTTTTCCATTGCAATTGGCTAAAAGCTTGTTTGTATATTTATAAAATAGCCCTAAAATTCATAATTTTTAGGCTACTCAAAGGGTAAAATCTGGACAATATTACCATTAGTCCATGCTTTTACTAAGACTCCGCTGTAAATCTGTCTGTCACCAGTCTGAATCTCAAACAATCAAATCTATCCCCTATGTAATATTAGTATAGATAACTTAGAATTTATTAAAACCTGATTTTAAGATAAGCTCTAGGTAGTATAGTAACAAAATGGCGGTTGTTAGTTTCTTTTTTGTTTCTAAACGATCCATTTATCACGTGAACACAGGGGACTTGGAGACAGCTAGCGACGGAACACGGTCAGTTAAGTGTTCTTTCCTTTTACTAAGTTCAACTAAATATCTTAAAGAATTTTCTGCCACCAAATATTATGCGGTTTCACATACCTATATTTTTTATTTTATTGAAATCCCAAATGATCGTGGTTTAATAATAGTGAGTGACGCTTTTAGAGAATAACCCATACATTTATTTTTAACCGACTTCAAAAAAGGAGAAGGTTCTCAATTCGACTGTCTTTTTTGTGTTTGTTACGCAATTACTCCACCAATTTTTTAATTCGACTGCTTAATGGACCGAGGTGGTCCCATTAAAATTTTATCGAAATTGAATCATTAGTTTTCTTTTTGTAACAAAACGAAATGTCTTTCAGATATCACCTAAATATGTTGATGTCATGATTATATCAGCGAAAAATCAAAAGATTTCTATGTTCAAAACGAGTTTTAGAAATATATCCTTTTTGTACATAGATTATACTTTTTTATATCTTTGTGTAAATATACTCTTTGTAGATTTTGTATTAAGTTTTGAACTCAGATAAAAATCTATGGTTTTGAAGTTCTATAGTTAGTAAAGTTGCACCCGATCCTCGTATTACTTCAGTTTTCCTAAGGTTTATTTATTTCTATTGAACTCGAATCTTCGATAAATTATATTTAAATCGATAATTTATATTATATTATTTTTGATGCAAATAGGTATGTTCACCGATTTCTTCGTGGTTACGTCGTGCAAATAAATAAAAAAATTCAGGCCACATTGTTATGTATGACTTATTATCAGCAAGAATGACTTCTATTACATATGTATTAAGCTCAATATTGCTTTTTACGTCCCATTAAGAAAGCGTGTTATGCTTTGACCATTCAAAGAAAGTTGTATTCATGGGTCTTCAGTTGTTTAGTACATTTATTTTTTCAAAATTATTTTTATTTTTTAAAAGACAAACCCGTTTTTTAGAATACAAGTCCTGTGTTGTGATGGACAAAGTACACCCAGACTAAGAATAATTATTTGTAAATCACACGAAAAATTGTCCTGTGTGGGGATCGAACCACAACACTCGATCCGTGGAGACAACTAAACCACTCAACCAACAATGCAGCAAAAATCTAACCTGTATAATGCAAAATAATGATGACAGTTCTTGCCGAAAATTCTTTAAAATTTATCAATATAATGTATATATTATAATTATATAAAATACCTTTGAAATACCTTATTAAGACTGACATCAAAATTGCGGTAGACAACCACTTGTGATACCTAAACAAAATATTTATATCTCTGAAATAATGAAATAAAAACATTTTTCAAAAAATTGTTACTTATTAATTATTAATAAAGTGATTGATAAATTATACTTGTTTTAAAATCGGTTAAATTTTTCAATAAACATTCAAGTCGGGCGGTTGATATTTAATAAACTTCGGAATACCTCAGTCCGGCTTCAATGGTTCTTGAAAAATTTATCCGCTTTTAAAATAAGTGTTGGGTATTTATCACTTTAAAAAAAATGATATTTTACTCAATTTTTACATTTCCATTCTGGTTTGGGTAGATCAGATAATTTATGTTCTAGAGTGTGACTCGGATGATACGAAAATTAATCTAGAACTACTCATAAATATATCCATATATAAGTACGAACTGTTAGGTACAGAAACAAAATATCCAAATAACTTTATCATATGAAAAGGAGGGCGTATCGTTATAGAGTTACACGAACCGAAATTTAGTTCATGATCAGTCATGGATTGGTCAACATGCTTAATAATATTGAGCGGCATAGTCCATATAACGATATGCAAAAATTGTGTCATCGACAACCGTTCTGTGAACTTTGACTGGGAAAAGAAACTGCATGAAGACCTCAGCAAATGCTATAATTCATTTGAAGCACCTGCCAATAACACAATAATCAAACTGAGTATTGATATGAAATATTTCACAACAGACGAGGGTGATGGTTCTCTTTCTATGCTTAGTTATGCTACGGTCACTTGGCTCGATGAAAGACTTAAATGGAATCCAAAAGACTACTTCGATATAACAAATATAGATTACTGGGGTTACGAGTATTGGACACCGACGATAGTAGCAACCAACATAGCTGAAGTAGATGATTATTATATGTATGGAGTGTGTACATTAAAATTTACTGGTGATATTTTATGTGTGCAAAAGAAGGTATATAAAGCTCGTTGTATTCATTATATTACAAATTGGCCATATGATGAATTGATATGTACTCTTAATTACGCCATAAAACACTTCGGAAATAGTGACTCCATACTCGTTCCAAGATGGAACAAAACTGCTGACATATTTGGAGCTGAATATGGAGACGAATGGATCATTGTTGATTATGTAGATACTTTTAACGTTACTGAGAAAATTCAAATTAGATTAACATTTACTCTTGTACGTAACGGTGAAGTTATTGCATCAGTGATAATATATCCGTTAGTTATTCTAGCAATACTGACACTTGTGACGACTTTTAGAGACGTGATAAACTTCAAACGGTTCTGGATGACCTGTTTCACTGTATTGTGTCATATTTTCTATTCGCAGACATTGAATAATCTAATTCCTAAACTTGAAACTGAAGTACCGTCAATCTTAATTTTCTATAGATTTTCTGTGCTCTTGAACAGTCTTTTGGTGATATTATCTTTAGGACTGAAGCAATTGAGATATCGCCAATCATCTCCTCCTATTTGGGTAACATCTGTGAATAATTTAGTATTCAATTCTTTCGGAAAATATATTGTTTTACCTCGATGGAAAGTTAAAGCTGACGTCATAGTATCAGAGTCATTAAATGTGAAAGACGTGGAAGCATGGAATAATTTTGGTAACATACTTAATTCAATTTTGTTAGTAAACTGTGCATTTTTGTACTTAATAATGATGCTTGTATATATTCCTACACTGCATACGTTTCACGTTTTGAAATTTTTGATAAAGTAATACAGGCATTTTACCAAAGTAATATGTGAAATTTGACCTTTAAATTAAAAAAAAGAAGATATTGTTCCAGAGGAAAAAATGTCATGTTCTCTTAAACTTGTCTTTCAGAGTGCAAAGATTGCTATTAACCTGAATCTGTTGGAAAACATTTTGTTGTAAGTTTACCCCGATTATCAATATTGGATCCCTTACTCTTTTCATTTTATATTTAAGACCTTTAAAGTTTGTTTATCTCTTTTTTCTTATCGTATCGTGTTTCTCACAAACTTTCATCTAACTTTATTTTAATTTAACTTCATAAAATCTAGCAAATAACTTTCATCTACCTTTATCAAATCTAGCAAATGAAATTAAGTAGTAATCTTCAGCCGATTAAACTGTGTGTTTTGCATACAGGCTTACTTAAATTGACATTGCATGGTTGGTGAATATGGAATTATATACTTTTTATTTATATAAAAATTTAATATTTTTAATGTTACCTATTAAATATTAAAATATCCATATCACTTAAAACACGAAATAAAACTTTTTTTTTAAATAGAAGACAAATATTTTCTATAGCATTTTCTAAAATAAGTAGCTTCTGGGATAAGTATTATTTATCACTTTTTTAGTTTGCAGTCGATTCTTTTGTACTTTATCATAAAAGTATCAATTGGTCTGCTAAGAAAAATACGAAAATTATTATATAATATCTGAATATCTTTATCTGCTCTCATAACATAGTAACAAAAGCTTGTGACTATAAATGATACCAAACTTAAGATTCCTAAGAACTTTTAAGGGTTTTCAATAAGATCGCAGTCAGATCGTTTAAAAGTGATATAGAAGTTAACGAGGTATTAATATACTGTCAATTTCCTATTCAAAACGTACAAATAAATGTTATAATAAAATAAGGGGGCGTATCCATATTGAGTTACACGACCTGACATTTAGTTTGTGAACAGTCATGAATTCGTCAACATGCTTTTTACTCTTAATCAGTATTGTTAATTTAATATTATGCAAAAATTGTGTCATCGACAACCGCTCTGTTAACTCGTACCGGGAAAAGAAATTACTTGACGATCTCAGCAAATGCAGCAGCCCAATAGAAGCACCTTCCAATAATACCATAGTCAAATTGAGGATTATCATGAAATATTTCATAATAGACGAATACGACGACTCTCTATTTGCGTATTGTTACGCCGTTACCACCTGGATAGACGACAGATTAAAGTGGATTCCAAAAGACTACTACGATATTACAGATATAGAGTTCTGGAGTTACCAATATTGGATGCCGCCAGTAGTATTGATCAACACAGGAGAAAAAGATGATTACGTGTATTATGGGATGTGCAATTCAAAATGGACGGGAGAAGTTTTCTGTATGCCGAAGATAGAAAGCAGAGGTCAGTGTATTTCTTATGTCACAAACTGGCCATATGATACAAAGATATGCACTCTCAGTTATGGCCAACGTTACGACGAAAGAAGTAACATTATACTCGTTCCTTTATCAAACAAGACAGCTAGTTTGTTAGGTGCTGAATATGGTGCTGAATGGATTATTACTGATTATCAAGACGATTTTAACGTAACAAACAAAATTAAAATTAGATTAACGTTCACTCTCGAACGGAACGCCGAAGGTCTTGCATCAGTGACAATATGTCCGTCGGTTCTATTAGCGATACTGACACTTGTGACGATTTTTAGAGACGTGAACAACTTCAAACGCTTCTGGATGACGTGTTTCGTTGTCTTTTGTCATATTTATTATTTACAGACATTGACTAATCTAATGCCTCGATTTGAAAGTGAAGTACCGGCGATATTAATTTTCTTTAGATTTTCCCTGCTCATGAGCAGTCTTTTGGTGATTCTAACTTTAGCACTGAAGCAATTTAAATATCGCAAAACATCTCCTCCTGTTTGGGTAACGTCGGTTAATAGTTTAGTGTTCAATTATTACGGTAAATATCTTATTCTGCCTCGATGGAATGTTATCAGTTCAGAATCAGTAAATGTGAAAAATGTGGAAGCTTGGAATGATTTTGGTAATATACTTAATTCAATTTTGTTACTAATCTATACATTTTTGTATTTGATAATGATGCTTGTTTACGTACCCAAGCCGCCACCTTTGGCGTTTTAAACCTTTCAAAAACATAGTGGCAATATTTTGGAGTGGAGAACAGGACTCGGTGATTTGTTCTTGCCAGGGAGTTACATAATCACTCAAATAATGAAAGTAAAACATTAACAAAATAAAGAGATTGACATATAATAGATATCACAATTCTCCAACGTAATTCCTATATATTTATATTATATACATAGCCTTGTTAATACTAGATATACATACAGCGTCCGGAGGAAAAAATAACAAAAGTATATATTTTTTATTAATTTTCTTTAGATGGTATTGTAATTAATAATTATTAAATACAGGGAGAGGGATTACTTAGGTAATAAATTAATGACGTCCTTAACATTGTGTATAGTAATCGTATTCTCAAATCATTCACCACAAAGGTCGGCAGTGCGCTTGTAGCTCCTCTGGTGTTGCAGGTGTCCATGGGCGGCGGAAATCACTCACCATCAGGTGATCCGTCTGCTCGTCTGCCCATAAAAAATGCCCATAAAAAAAAATAACTCGAAGGTAATAATTTATCAAATACTGTTTAGCAATAAGGTAACCTTTTTTTGTACTGTGTAATTTTATACAGTGTAATTTCCTGTCTATATCTTATGCAATAAAGAGTATTATTTAAACCTGAATTATTTTTTTAACTAACGCAAGTGTCTGTCTTTTTTTAGACATTTGAGAAACCAAATTTTCTAAGCATGGGAGAGCCACGCTTCGGCATGAATGGCCGGCTCGACCGGAGTGATACCACGGCCTCACAGAAAACCGACGTGAAGCAACGCTTGCGTTGTGTTTCGTCGTGTGAGTGAGGGTACCGGAGGCCCAACCCCTCCCTATTTATTACCTTTTACCTATACCTATATTACCTTTTTATTATATTAGTATAGATACTAATAAATAAAAAGGTAAAATGTCTGGTTTTGTTCGTTTGTTGGTGGTAATATTCGAAAATTGGTCCAATCATGAAATTTCTTTCACCTACAGGAAGCTATATCAGATGCAGTTGTAAGTTGTAATTTACGCGAGCGCTAGCTAGTAGGTAATAAAATAGATTGTCTTTAACATTTTTGTTTCTCTTCGCCCTTGATAGTTTATGGTAAACGCATAATATGTTTTCTTACAATCCTTCAATGTCACTAGAAAACAAACATGGTATTATGTTCCAGCTACCCACGGGAATCTCTTTTGACAGGTACAGAGGTGGAAAACTACTTTTTGTCCTCTTTCTTACCTGCGTTCATTTATCAACGTACGACCGTGACACCTAGCGGTTGGTAGCAGCAATATCTTTACGGCAAACTAAAACCAATTCTTTATATGTATAATATAGAAATGTAATAACAGTGCCTTATTTTAAACGGTTTTTAGATCTAATGGCTTGATTATGAATGACCGCACGAGGCACATAAAAGAAAAACCTAGGAAACAATAAAATATTTTTGTTATGGTTAAAAATAAATATATGAAAGTTATATCTACTTGTTTGGTAAATGAAGAATACTCGTTAATCTAATTGTTTATCTATCAATAGTATGCTACGACAAAACACGATAAAGTAAATACTTTTATAACTTATTTTAGAGGTTTCTTTCACAGTTTTTACTCCATCGGATTAATTAGAACAAAACAAAAAGTCTCTTGTTTCACCTTATTTTTTTCAGATTCTTCAGTGTCCATTAGAATTGAATCTAAAATATTTATATAACCCACTCCAAAAAGCTTTGATTTATTATATTTTCACGCGCACTATCCATAAATTAAACAACTTTTAAACAGTTTCGTGGCGTTTTTATTTAGTTTTCTTGATGTATGGGATGGGACCCTTTAAGTTTACGGGTTCCGTGTACACATAAGAATAAGGTGTTGATTGTCTATTTAATAGCTACCTTCAAAACAATACTATTGGACACATTCATAATAAAAATAAAAATATTTTATGGAAACTTTTACATTTGTTAAATTAAATTATTTAAAGAATACATATGAGTTATTTATTTATTTACCCCTGGCTACCTTAATCTACCACCATTCCTTAATTTGGGAGTCTTGTCTGAGAAGAACGGGCGAAACAAACTCCGACAAGAAAAGTGAATTGCTCCCTAAAACCAAATACAAACACGATTAAACCGTTTGAAATTTATTTCATTACATTATATATTTGTTTAATTATCAACAGAATTATATCACTACATTCTATACACAGGGAAGTCACTATGCAAAACAACTAGTCCTTCTCTATAATCATTAGATATTACACTATCTTTTAAAAGTGATTTAAATAACTACATCATTGTAGTCTTCAGAATAAACGCTTTCGCATCTGTTTTATACTAAGTTCTATTTCAACCGAATGCCTACCAGTTCGTTTAAAATAGCCATCTAAGTATGGTTTGGCTATTAACATAAACACTGCTTATTGCTACTGGTTTCTATTGAGCCTTTCCAGTTCAGGTGGTGAGCAAACATTTAAGGTAAATTTGATACTGATTAAATAGCTTCGTTCGTTTTTAAAAGCTGTAAACTTAAGTTTACAAACCTGTTAATTTAACAGTGAATTCAAATTGAATGAAGGTTATCGTTAATTTGAACTGTCTAAGCGAAACGATAAATGCTTGGAAGATATTGAGATGAGATACATTTTTCGAGGGGTAAAATAACTAAAATTTTATTTATTTCATTGTAACCTTTGCATATTATTACACAGTTTTAAACTTTAAAAATATTTACAAAATATTTAAAACTATACAGTAAGGTGCCCAGAAGACTGCGAGCGTTTCGTTTTTGAATTGCCAAACTAATTCTTTATTTAATCTAATTACAAACAAACGACTTTAAAAAGTTATTTAATTATATAAATCGCTGTCTTTTCTTTACATTTATTTTGATTATAATATATTTATAAAGTAGACAATTAGACCAGAGGGCTTTCATTCACTAGGACACTAAAACATCATCGACTATTTTGAATCTCATAGCTCATGTGAATTAAGTAAAATAAGTGAATAAAACAGGAAAAAACTGAATTATTTTAAATGTGTTATGTTAAAGGTTTACGATTTCAACATGTTTGTATTTGCTTTAATGACTTTTCGGATCCTTTACAGATTCCTTGTTCGAATAAGACCTGTAAGTGTCTGAAACGTCATAAAAGCAAATACAACAGTTCTGAAAACGTTTAAAGTCGTTTCATTTAATGTGTAGCTAAATTACAAATTCTTTCTCTGATTTCTGTTAGCAACTACCGAATAGTATCGTAGTAACTGAATTCTAACCATCTGTAATCACTTTTACGGGGAAAAAATCCTATTTAATAAGTATTTTATTTCCAACAGTATAAAGTATAATAATAACAACATTTTAAGAGAAATCTTACTATATTTCATTGTTAGCTCCTAAAATTGATTGGGTACTCACGAAATTTAACGTTGTACATTAATAAATATTACGGATTCATATTTTTAATACTCCGTCTATATTTTACGTCACTGCATTATAAATGATGGCAAAGACCACTTAATAATAAGAAAAACGTCAAGACTTACAAAGCGGTTAAAAAACCCACCCTTCCAATAAATAATAAGGTGCTTATGGGGCATAATGGGGGATGAGAGGTCATAAGTCTCCCCTATCTATTGCCTAACATATTTTCTCTCACCTGGGGGATGTTTTTCCACCCATAATTAATGGTAGAACATTATTTTGAGAAGCATCTTGAGAGGGTTGCACGCACTGGGTTTTATAAACTTCGCGGTTTTATAGCATTGTTAAATTTTGTTTTGGACTACTTTGAACTAACAAACACTGTTCTTATTAGAAACCTTCACTTTTATATAAGAGAAAAGGTCGCAATCTGTTTCACTAATCCCTCGGTACTCAACCCGTTTTGTCGATGGAACCCTTTTGGAAACATGAAGCCCCGAAATAAAACAAAACCTTGTTTTATATGTATTGTTCATATCAAACTATATTTTACGAAATAAAATATGCTCATAAGCTAAACATGTTTATGCTTTAACATATTCGAAGCCCGTGTTCTGCCAAGCAAACTTCGAGAAATAACCCTTTACAAAATTAGGTTTCAAAAATGGTTGAACGAATTTAAAGAACTATTCCATTTGTTCTCGAACCAAAAATCGAGAAATTTCGAATCGTTGCTAAAATCATATCCGTGAAGAGTATCTGGCATCAGAGGCGGTATTAGGTTCTACTTCTGTTCCATCGAAAATTATCAAAACTTGCGTTTAATTTGCAGTCATTTTCTTATCGAAAATAGACGAAATTTTGTTTATGGACAAAAATAATATTATTCATACCAGTAGTATGTTTAAAGAAAAGAAAAAACGTATAGTTTGTCGTACCCAATGTGTAATTCTTAATCCGTATTTTTAACTGCCGGTGAACATCGCGGTTCAATTTGTCAGAACGTAAAATATCGTTCGGCCGCTTTACTCGGCATAAATCCATGTTTTGTTCCCTCTTTATAATAAGATAACCTGGCCTGCTAAGCATGTTTCCGCTTCAATTTATTTCAGAATATTTTTTCTGCATTACGCTTATCAGAGCTATCTACGAAACAAATTGTTTACGAACAAACAAATTATCATGTTGAGGAGCTCGGTGGTGCAATGCGTTTAGTCTACGAGGCGGACGTTCAGCAACTTTTTCTCTGGTCAGTTGTGGGATGGGTGATCAAAAATTTATTATCTCGACCTCCTCCGCACTTCGGAAGGCACGTTAAACTATCCCTGCTTAAAAGCCACCATTGCGTACTGGATGTTACTACTGGCCCATTCTGCCTCTTCGATTGATCTGTAACTTAACAGCATTACAAACCAAACAAGCCAACCACTGTGCATTCTAGCTCCTCAGAGGTAAAATATAAACTAATATATACAGAATGAAAAAATATTTTTTATTACTGTGATATAAAAAGGCGATGTTTCCACATTTATCTTTCGCAGATCTTATCGAAATTCCGCTGGACGAAGGGACAAATTTTAATTGCA